TGAAAGGCAAGAAGTGCATGTTACTCAACCAAGTTCAACACTACTTTTTAGAAAGATATGAAACTAGAATCCCTGACAAGACAAACATTACCATCAATAGAAGAAATTATTTGTAGCTCAGGGTTGAACTGTAGAGTCATTGATCTCTCTAATTTTGGTTGTTTACTTGCAGAGCTTTCATTACCAAACTAACTTCTTAAGTGCTAGAAGGGAGTGGAGTGTGTTTTCTATTTATGTTTATATATGGATACACATGGACAGATGAAACCATAGTTTCAATTTGGAAATTGTGTGCATCATAGACCAAGCGAAGTCCAAAAATGCTAGGAATTCCTGGAACCTTGGAACTCAGACAAATTAACCATCAGCAGGGACACAGAGGTAAACAACATTTACGTATCATTCAAAAGAGACAATTAAAACTCTAAAATGGAAACAAAATGACCAGAACACCTCATCCCCAGCAATCAACAATGATCTAAACTGAGATTATCATCACAATTAATACCAGGTCAACAATCAAGCAGTAAACAATATGCAATTCAAGGAATTATTGTGAGACTAGGCCTAAGATGCCATACCTAAAGATAAAGCAAGCACATAAACAGGGTGGACAAAAGTCGGGAAAAGTTCTGTCAGGGAAAGTAGGAAGGAACCAAATTGTTAAGGAAAAAAAGGAAAAAATGGCACCTGAATCAGAAGTTGGGCCCGAGCACATGGGAAGCCCCTCCCCAAGTCCAACCAACAAGAACAAAGCAAGGACTTTGGGGATAAAAGGTGTCCTGAATCCCACCCACTCCTTGAAACATCTTTGCCTGAGTGTGTGTGTACGAAACCTCAGAGAGCACCAAGGACTCCACATTTCTATCAGTTATGAGCAGAAAAAAGACAGCATCCATCGCCAGACACCAATCCCAATTCTTTACATGCTGCTTTATAACCTGGTAACCTGATGTGTGTTTTTTTACTCCCTACAATTCCATTCATTGGCCCTACCTGTTGGGGCTGATGGGACTGAAAACCAATACATCTGGAACAGTGGTGGGTTTCAAAAAATGTTACTACCCGTTCTGAGGGTGTGGCTTGTTGGGCGTGGCATGGCTTGTTGGGTGTGGCAGGGGAAGGATACTGTAAAATCTCCATTCCCACCCCACTCCAGGGGAAGGATACTGCAAAATCCCCATTTCCTCCTGATCACCTGATCGGGAGGCAGAGAATAGATGGGGGCAGGTCAGAGGCGGTATTTACCGGTTCTCTGAACTGCTCAAAATTTCCGCTACCGGTTCTCCAGAACTGGTCAGAACCTGCTGAAACCCACCTCTGATCTGGAAGCACCAGGATACCCAACAGCTGCCACTACAAAATGTGGACAGCCATTTGGACCAAATTCATGGCAATTTTGTTTTTGGTATTGTTGTTCCTCATATCAAAAGTAAAATCTGTAAAAGCCCAACCATGTCTAAAACCATTCTGATCTTGATCTTCTCTGTATGGGATCAGTTATGTACTAAATGATGTAGGATTATTGTTTCGATCCCTCTACATTTTTTGCCTTTTAATCATTTTATCCACTCCTTCCTTGAAGATGATTTCAGAAGAATCAGAATACCAATATTTAAGATATGGACGTTAGACTCTGTTGTGCTTATTTATGCTTTGCAAATATACTGTAGTAGTTATCTTTTCAGAGGCTTTTTCAGGAAATTTTACCTGATTCTGTATTTATATTGGTTTGTTACTGTTTGATTTTATTATATTGTAGTTTGCTGTATTTACATTATGGGACAATTTGATTAAAAAATAAGCTATGAATTTAATAATGAAACAAATAAAATAAAATCTTCCTCAGAAGACATAAAATCAGTGTGTATAAACACACTCCTGGTAACTGCATTCAAAATAGCTGTTTATAAACTATAAGAAATTATTTAGTACTAGCTGTACCCGGCCATGCGTTGCTGTGGCCCAGTCTGGTGCTTCCGCTGGGCTAAAAGAGTGAGGCTCAAGTTCCAAACTCTCCATGAACATTTGGTGGGCGTGGCCAACTCGGCCACTCACTTTCATCAGTCACATGACAGCCCCCGAGCCACACCTACCCAGCTGGTGATTAGGGCAGAGAACCGGTTGCTAAAAAACAATGGGAACCACAAAATCCTCCCTCTCTGTCTCCCCCTCTCTCTTTGTATCTCTCTATGTCTCTCTCTCTCCCCCCTCTGTATCTCTCTATGTCTCTCTCTCTGCCCCTCCTCTGTATCTCTCTATGTGTGTCTCTCTCCCCCTCTCTCTGTATCTGTCTCTTTCTCCCCCCTCTGTATCTCTCTCCCCCTGTATCTCTCTCTGTGTCTCTCTATCCCCCTCTCTCTGTATCTCTGTCTCTCTCTCCCCCCCTGTATCTCTCTATCTCTCTCTCTCCCCCCATATCTCTATGTGTCTCTCTCTCCCCCTCTCTATCTCTGTCTCTCTCTCTCCCCCCTCTCTGTATCTCTCTCTGTCTCTCTCTCTCCCACCTTCTTTCTCTGTATCTCTGTATGTGTCTCTCCCCCCCCCTGTCTCTCTGTATTTCTCTATGTCTCTCTCTCCCTCTCTCTCTGTTTATCTCTGTCTCTGGCCCGGCCTCTTCTGCATCCCCCACCATCACCCTTACCTTTTCAGGCCAGGCCTTTGTAGCTCTCCGCACTACAGCAGAAACTCAGGGGGCCCCTCCATCCTCCCTACACAGATGTTGTCTGGGGGCTTGACGGGGAGACGCATAGCAGAGAAAGGAAGGGAACGGAAGGGAAGGGAAGGGAGGGTGGGAGGGGGTGCGGCGGGGGTTCGAGGCTGGTTTGGGGCTTCCCGCCTGAAGGAAGAAAGCGGCAAAGTTAGGAGCCATGCACACACCACTGGACCCCTGCTGCGCAGTTCTCCTCCCCTGCCTGCTAAGGGCAGGGGAATGTTTAAATCCTCTGCTCTTCCAGGCGAAACGAAGGAGGGCCGGCCATCCTCCCTCCTGCCCGTTTCTGTCCCCCGAAGCCTCCCCGGAGCCCCTTTTCTGCCAGAGGCCGAAATTTTTGTGTAGGCTCCATGAACTGCCAGAGTGCCCACCTGGGAATCAAAGGCGGTGCTGGTCAAAGGCGACCCCGAGGCTTCAGTTGCCTGCATCTCCTGCTCACCGACCGGATTCGCATAGCGCCGGTTAGTGGCTGGTCTTTCTGACCTTGGGGCCCGTGGTAGCGCTGGGCCAGGCACAATTCAGGCCAGGCGAGGGACGGAGGGTTCCCACTCGGCGAACCCAGGCAGCCTCATTGCCAGGTGTTCTTTGGAAGGAGCCCCGAGAGCGGCTGGCAAGGGGGATGGGCAGCAGCGGTGGGTGAGGCTAGTTTGCGGGGTGGCCAGGGGAGGGGGAGGTCAGAGCCAGGCTTGGGCGGGCCACGCCCAGCCCTAGAAGCGCCGGCTGCGAGGGCTTCCCGGTGGGGAGCCGGCTGCCTACCTGCCGAGCCTGGTGGCAGGATATGGCCCTCGGGCGTCTCTGCCTTCCAAATGCGCAGTTTCTTGGAAGCAATATGGAGAGTCTAAATATAAGGAGCAGAAATCTGTTGGGCGTAATCAGGGCTGGGAGGCTGCCATGTTGGTTTTACGTCCAGCAGATGGCGCTGTTTTTCAATGTTTGTCAATGTCTTTCAAAGTTTTCCAATGTTTTTCATGTGCGGTTATGTGATGATTTCTCTATTTAAGAGGGGAGAGAGAGTTAACCAATAGCCCAGAAGCTCTAGGAATGTAAACCTAGTTTAAGAGCACATTTTAAAAAAGAAAAACAAAGCAACAAGATGTATCTGGAGTTTAATTAGTCATATGACTGAACCACTGAAAACACCGGAGTGTAATTAGATGCCTCGAGGCTTATTTGAATCTAAGGTATAGAATTCAGCAAGATTAAAAAGTATCAGTCAAAAAAAAAAAGCGTTCTCACTGCTGAAATGCCTGATATGTCAAAAATCTCTACTGCTGCAGCAGAGCAGTTGTAATAGTACTAAACTGATCAATGAAACCCGCAGTGCAGAATTAGAGAACCATATTCACTGACTGGATGGGGCAATCTGAACCTCTCAATTTAACAAGTTGCAAGGATGAAATTGGAAATACTGCCCCAAGTCCCTGCAGGATGTAAATGCCACAGAAGAAGAAGAAAAAGCATTGTACTAGCTGTAGGTTATTAGATATAGGCTGATAAGAATTCCTGTTTTATCTAAATAACCTCTACTCTAAATCAAGGCTGGGCTATATAACATTCAGCATTTTTGTTTCTCACTGCATAGGGATAAGGCGTGCATAAGAGCACGAGCGTGCCTACCATCCCTGTCCTAATGTTTCCTCTATTTGTATCTATTTTATGTATCCAATCCATGCTTATACTTATTACCTAACACGTTCTTGACAAAATGAATAAATAAATAAATAAATAAAATTTTAAAAAGGTGAAACCTTAGTAGATTTGGCAGGAACAATCTAGTTTGGCAAGGTTTATGGGGCAAATCCAATATATAGCATATATCATAACATGATTTTATTTTTGCCCCAATGGGAAATATCCAGTTTTAGGGGGAAGGAGAGATTTGGGTGGTAGTGAATTATTACCTTCTGCTACTGCTTACTGCATCCTTTCTGGCTCTTTAAAAACATCAGAAACCTAAAAAAAAAACCCTATTCTGACTATCAGAGAGTTACATGCAACCTGTTACTCTGGGCAAATAAAAACATTACTATAACACTATATAAAAGAAATATTAAAATGTAGCCATACGCTATTTTGTTATCTTGCCAGGTCTGGAACATGCATGAGGTTAGAACCCACAGCAAATTACATCTCTGCAGTCTGCTTATGAAAATATGTACGAAAAGTCCTTGAGTAGGAAGCAAGTCAAAAAACAGGGCAATAATATGACAAATCAATTCCAGTCTCATCAGCTTTTATTAGCAAATTTTTTTTAAAAAAGTATCAGAAAAAGAACACTCAAACAAACCTGAGTCCATATGCCTGGAACTCTTTCGAAGTCCATTCAGTCGTTTCTGTGCAATTAAAGACACATCAGTTAAGAGATTACTTTCTAAAATAGAAATAGTTCCTCTTTTCATGTAAATTCTATTCAATTAGAGCACCATTACTTCACATTGGTGTTTCCACCCCTAAATCTTCCAGTCTTATGCTGACCTGAGATTTTCTTCAATTCTGCTGACCAAAAAAACGCTAAGAACATGACCAGAACTCTACAAGTCAATTCACGTAACTTCAGCTAACAAAAAAGAACATGTGAAAAAAATGTATAGTTGAATCAGTATATATGTCCTTCATCGTTTACTTCATTCCATAAAATAAAGGAACTAAAAAAGAATTGCTAATGCTCTCCACATTCACATTTTCAGTTCAAGGTGTTTTGGCCTGCAGAGGCAGCACCAATTCTTCTTTCCTGCTACAAGTGGTACAATTCATCTCACCAATGCAAATGCAGGAAGCTGTAGGAGGCTGTGAAGAACAGCCAAGCGGAGTGAAATGAAGCAATGCAGCCATTTGCTTCACCCTTAGCTGCAAAAGCACATGATGTTTCATGAAAGAGTTTCAGGTGTGCTTTGTTTTCTTCTTTGTTGAAGTGAAACACGCCCTTGAAGGCCTGTACATTCCTAAAGTTTCATGCATACAGTTGTTTACAAGAACTTCTTGATTGCTGTAACGTGATTGCTGCAAAGCTGCCATTTGTCCTACATTTAAAACGTCTTGCAAATTCTGAAATTGAAATGATACTGTTTGAACAATTTGCAACTGAGCACTTATCCCTTGATTGCATGTTGGTGAAGTGCTTGGAAAGGAGACATATATTCTTAAAAAATCCTCCAGAGCAGTACTGCAAGTGGAACATTGAAGCTCGTCATCTCAGATCCAAAAAAAAAAAGCGCCACTCAATGAACTTTAAACCAGATCTAGAGCTGCTTCTGAACTGAAAGAAATCCCTTCAGACCATTTATAAATATTGGGTTTTTTTAACGTTTTACTAATCAAAGCTTAGTATTAAAAGTTGCTGCATCAACTTCTAACTGACTGGTGGGAAAGGTATGCCTGGAACAGAATTCAAAAACACTCTTGCATCACCCCTACTATATTAGCATCCATATTGTAAAAGCTTTGTTGCCCCATTCAAACCATCCAGTTCTGCCATTGTTGATTAGCCTCCTCCATAGAGGTCTATGTCAATCAGCCACGGCCAACTCGCCACAGGCAACTCACATAGGTAACTTGCCGTGGGACACTTTGCCATGGGACAACTCGCCATGGCCAATTCGCTGGACAACTTGCTCCGGGACAAGAGTTGCACTAATATCAAAGAAATTGTGGAATAGAATCATTAAAGAAAGGATGCCAAAGGAAGGACAGAATGAAATGTGAATGACAAAAATTAAAATAATGTATTATTTATTTTAAATAATTAAACTGAATTGTTAAATTGTCTGGCAGCAAGTTGGCCGTGGCAAGTTGTCCTACGGTGAGTTGACCATGGTGAGTTGACCCCAATGAATTGTCCCACGATGAGTTGACCATGGTGAGTTGTCTACAGTGAGTTGGGTATGGTGAGTTGGCCTCAGCAAGTTGTCCTATTCCACCTCCATGGTGCTACCTGAAGCAGTATAACTTCATCCTACCATGCAACAGTTCAAGCTTTATTGTACAAAGCCACACAAAAATATCAATTGTTTCTAAAATGTATATGTATGTTATTATAGTTAATGTTTGAATGTGTGTAAAACTTTTGAACAGCAATTACAAAGTTCACCTTCTATCAAGAACATGTTTTCACCATAAAAGAGGACTTAGCATATTAAAAGGTGACTGCAGTAATGAGTATGCAGTAATGATGTACTGTAGTTGGAAGGAACATATGAAAAATGTTTGGTTTTATGGAGAAGAACAGACACAATCTTGCCCAGAAAAGAAAAGAAGAAGAAAAAGAAAAGAAAAAACAATATTAAAAAACAGGATCTCTTTATATTTGATAGTTTTTATGGAGAAGATAAATGAAAAATAGAGGAAGTATCAATTATTCTATATAGGTAACTTTCTTGCATGACTGTGATCCTTCCAAAATGTGTTTGATTTCCTAAAACACACACAGTTTTCTCTTAAAAGCAGAGATTCAAAAGCTATCATTTTCATTTAGAGAAACATTCTATCTAACTACATAAAAGAACAGAGCACTTTTGAAAAATGCAGTTATAATAAAGGTAATTTATCTTTCATTTTTAAGAAATCTATAAGACTGCCAAAATTGGGGACTTTTATTATTTGCATAGTACATAAGGTAAATTACTGAGAAGACACAGTATTAGAAAAATCTTTCATAATCTCCATATTAAGATTGGATGGAAGAAAAAATACGTTCTAAAACACCTTTTAAAACCCTGCCTTCATTCAGCTCAGAGCTGCAAACTTCCCAGACAACTTCAAGTACAGAACAAATCTAATTTCTACTACTATGTAGTCATATGAACTGCATTTAATTTTAGTATTTAATTTTATTTCTAAGAATACATGTAAATCAAATTCAATTAAAAACTAAAGGGTTGGCTTTTTTTTCCTAGCAACCCAAGTAGGACTGGGCATAAAAAAATCATTCAGGAACTTCATGGGCCAGATGTCACTCCATTCCAGACACAGAATTTTTTAAAAAAAAAAAAACCTGCATATTTTAATTTCTTTCACTTTTTAACTCACTTTTAAAATTGGTCCACAAACTTTCCAGTTGAAAATAAAGACAATTAAAATTTAGACCCGCTTTTTAAAAAATGACAAGACTTTCTCTAAAACCTAATTAACTGTGTTCTACCCTGGAGCTTGGCATATATGTATTCAGGGTGCTAGGACACTTCAACAAAAAGAAAAATGAACAGCCTTAATTTCATTGCCAAATGCTTGAAAGGTCATAAAGAAAGTAAGTTCAAGCATATACTACAAATATATTGTAGTCAATTTCTCTCTGCCAACAATGACTTTAAATTTGACATTATATATTTTCCCAAGAAATACAGTGTAGTCTTATATTTGTGCCCTTAACCTTAGACTGAGATGGTTTACTAAGCAATTATTACTTCTAATAGGAATCAGTAAGTTACAATTTAAGCCCATGAATATCATCATTTCCTGAAATTCACTTTGCAACTGTAATACTGAATGGGTAGCTGGCAAACTCTGTACTCTAGTGCCAAATATACTCAGGCTGTCCTACCCTTCATAATTGGTGAATGATTAATTTTCTACTCCCTCAAACACTTTCCGATTTCTGATCATTCCCATTCCATAATATGCTACCTGTACAGCAATTTTATCATTAGTGCAACTGCAGCTGTGCTGAACCTGTCCATCAGTGGTTTCCTCTGATGAATAACAGGGCTTCACAGAGAATATTATGCAAAGCAAACACAAATTATTTCCCCCCAAAGAGAGGAAGAAAATATTGTTCTATGAACAAGTTTAATTTGCTCTCAGATTAATGGTCAATTCTTAATAGCTGCCACTTCACTGCAGAGTTTAAGGCAAACACTGTTTGATAGAGATCTGTATTTTGAAATCAAAAACTTAATATTCCAGTTCCACAGTTCTTTCCACAAGTGAATGAAATACACTTCAAAAATTATAAATGTTGCTCTTAATAAAAGCAAGATTAAAAAAAAAGAATGAATGGTTAAGTAATCGAGTCCCGCTTGTCTTTTCATTGCTCCCAATTAATTTCAGATTCTTATATTTTAGAGCTATATTCAGAAGGAAACTACACAATTAACGCACTGTAGTCCGCACACAGTGTAACAATAACCACCCTAGCTTCTTTTTATAAACTCCCCAAATGATCCATTGTCCTGAAATTAACTTCCCATAGAACAAATGTCACTTACCATGATCATTCAGTCAAAGTGTTTACATTTGCTAAGCAATTCTTAGACAACTTTATAAAATCGGCATTTTGCTGCTCAATTCATTGCTCACCAATTGAGAATGGCAGAGGATTGTACTCATTCATTAAATTCTATATAAATATATCTTGGAAATTTAGACCACGTTACTCTCCTGCTGCATCATGGACTAGCCCTTACTTGTGAATTTACTTTGTTTTTTCTTGCTACGTGCTTTCTGTTAATCTCCGGTACGCTGAAAAGGTTTGGAAGAAAATTATGCAAAACCTGCAATACTTGTTAAAACATGGTCCAAAATGGATGAAGAACATGCAGGATTTCAACTGCAGAGTTATGCATTTAATAGCTGCACTCCCTGAAATCAATATAACTTAACAATGTTTCATTTTCAGCAGTTCGATCTTTTGTTTCTCTTTTTAATCTAGGATTAATGCAAGGAGTGCATTCTGAAGGATTTCCTTCAGAAATCATCATATAGTCTTAAAAAAACCTCTTACCTTCTGTCAGGGCTAAAAGACAGATATGAAAAAGGAGGCATTTTGATCATATCCACAACAAATACTGTATCAAATCAAAAAAAGAAGAAAGAAAAAAAGAAAAGGCACACTTACCTCATGTTTCAGGGTTCCATGTTCTGAAACAAATGTAAAAATTGGCATGGTCAGTGACAGAACGCTCACTGTACAACAATAATCCCTAGCTCAGGGATACAGTGAGAGTACACAGAACGACTTTGTTTTGCTAGCTGATAACCTGTTTTATGCTCCAACAACCCTGAGGCTCAGCTAGTTATTTTGCAACTGTGTTTACTTTTATTGGCTCAAGTCAGGCAGCACTGAACAGCTATAAAAAGTGCTGGGTTTATGCTTAACTCCATGACACACAGCTTTCTGAACCAATAGAGTGCCTAAAATCTCTGAAACACTCTAAAGTCTGCAGAAACTTACAGAGGTGAACATTTTCCAGTTTTAAAAGTATACAGTGATTTGAATCCTGACTTTAGCATAGAGCAATTGCAGTTTCTTCTTCCCAAAAAACTATATCCAGAATATCTTATTATATGTCTAGTATTATTATTACATTATATTACATTGATTTCTCATTCTGATGTAAGACTTATATGGAGTTTTTTCATTACACAATGTGCATATATTTTGTGCACATTTCTCTGATAGACAAAACATACCAAATCCTAGCCTGTCTTAAGCTGAATATTGAAAGAGCTTTGGACTGATCCACATATATATGACAATCCCAGTTCTGCACACTTTCCATCGTACTCTCAAGTCCTTTTTATTCCACCAAGCTGGTCTGGCCTAATTTTTCCCCTTTTTTCTTTGTTCTTTTTACAATATACATTTTAATCTGTTTTTAAATTATTGGGGTGTTTTAAATTTGTCTTGGGCCAAATTGTTTAATTCGGTTTTATTCTGCTTTTAAATTTTATATTTATGTGTTTTACTTTGTGGCTGTTCACCGCCCTGAGTCCTTCGGGAGTAGGGCGGTATATAAATCTAATCAAACAAACAAACAATCATTGTCTTAGACAGTAGATTCAGTAAGTGATTGGCACATGTGAATGAAACATTACAAAACTTGTCCTATAAACAGAATGTTCATATTTCTTCTTTTAACTTCAAAAATACTACTGTGTTTCTCCGAAAATAAGACCCTGTCTTATATTTTTTTTTGAAATATAAGTGCTTGGCCTTATTGCCATGCGCTCAAAAGCCTGATTGGGCTTATTATCAGGGGATGTCTTATTTTGGGGAAAACAGGGTATTCTAGATCCAAAAACCAGCTGGATGAGCTTTGAACATTCAAGAACACTCATTTGCATTTATCAAATTATAGTTCTCCTCTAAAGGAATCCTGATTTGATATGGGGGAAGAAAGATTTAAGTTATTGCCAAGATCCTCCAGCCATAATTCTGATCCAGAAAGACTTTTTTATATCCTAGCCACTATTTGTTTTAATCTGAGCCAGTTCACTACATTCATTTTGAATCATCAAATTTTGAATCAATGAATCATAAGAAATCATGTGATAGATATGTATGTATGAACTAGTCACTGCAGATAGCTATGTGGATGGCTAGATAGATAATCAAAAGGAAGCTACTGGAATTAAAATATTGCAGATTTTTTTTATTAAAAAAAGAAAACAGAACAAGCAGTGTTCTGCATGATATATTTTGAAATGCAATATTAAAAATGTAGAAGAACCACAAGGTAAAATATAAAGTTCATATTTGCGAATATTTCTTACAAAATCAAATTGAAAACTATCATAATTAATATTATGAAATAAAAATAATCAAGCTCTTAAAAGATCATGAAATGGTGCTTAGCTCTCTCCTTTTTTTAGAAAACACAGCCCTATTATACTATGGTAAAACTGGTTTACTTCACAAGACGGTATATACTTTAAAAATAAGGGGAAAAGCAAGAGAGAGCTGGATTATATATGCATCATAAAATGTCTTATGAGCAACGAACTTCAAATTAGAACATTTTAATATGCACTCAAAGTAACACACAATTCAAGACATGAGTGGACATGCCCTCTATTTTATTTGAATAGCTTCTCATAACATGAAATATGATTCTCCTAATTTGACAAGAGAGATGTTGTAATGCACAAGCTAGGATTGTTTAATTTTAGGCAGTTATCCAGGAATTTCTTCTCTCCATTGCACAACTGAAAAACCGACCCCAAGTAGACTATTATGCAAAATGGTTTTAAGAACCTACAAATCTTGTTGATTGCATCCCACCACTGATGTATGAAAAATGGGTCTTATGTCTACAGGAAGATCGTAATGAGAGATAGTGAATTCTAGTCAGCACAATCTTTTCAGATAAAGGTGAGGTTGTGGGATCGCCCATTTGCACTCCAGACAGCTGTTCCTCATGAGCAGACTGTAAATACTGTCAGCATAAACTGATGGGTTGAGTGTCTAGGAGTCAAAAGATTTCAATCAAGCTCACAGTCATAATGCAAACTATATGAACACAAGGTACACACAAACCTCGCTTTCTTAAAAACTTTTGGATGTAATTAATTTATAGTTAAAGAGAGCTATTCTGATTAGAAGGATAGGAGAATCAAACCTGGGGAGTCAACAGTCTTGCATGTTTTTTTAAGTGGGCTTTTCCCATGCTGCTGAGAATCAAACTGATTTTCAATAAATGGTTGCTAACATGGTATATTAATTTTCAGATCCATACGCTTCATTGCATCTTACAAAGACCTTGGCAAAATGGAGTACACATATTATGCATAAGTAGATGGGAAAACTAGAGCAAGTGGATGAATTTATGTACTTTGTTTTACTATAGACAGGGAAATAGAGGGAGGAAGGTGAATTCATACAAATGCTGATCATTGGAAGTTAGTACAGGTAGTCCTTGACTTAAACAGGTTACTTAGCAACCATTCAAAGTTACAATGGATTACCTTGGGACTACTAACGACCCAGATTCAAATTTCTGATACTTGGGGGGGGGGGGTATGGTCACCTGACTGACTTGTTTTACGACTATGGACAGGTTCCATTACGATCATAAGTTGAGAACTATCTGTAGTCTCTTGTGAGAAATGAATGTTCGTCCAAGAAGTCAAAGTGGCTTTTAATGCTTTTGCTCCTTTTCGTTAAAAGAATTGAGAATTGGGGCACATCAGGAGAAATATAAAAATAAACTGAATGCTGTGGAAATAGGAAACTAAAGTGCATGTGGTAAAACAAAACAACATAGGATCAAGAAGAAAGGATCATGCAAAATGAATGAGGTTGTCATTATGTTGAGGGTGAAACACTGAGTATCTTGGTTTGGTCTCAGAGTTAAAGAGTGAGAGTGGAATATTCAAAGACTGCGAAATTTGTGATCAAATGGAGTTCTTGGGATCCTGAAAAACAGACTCTTTAAAAACAAAAAGACACTGAATTGTCACAGGGACACAGTGCAAACAAAGATGGTTTTCAAGGTAGAAAGATATGGAACAGTATTGGCAACATTTAAGATGTGTGGACTTCAACTCCCAGAATTCCCCAGCTAATTCTGGGAGTTGAAGTCCACACATCTTAAAGTTGCTAAGTTTGAGAAGCATGGGTGTGAAAGGATAGAGCAAATAAGAGTTTGTGCAAATTAGATTTAATTAAATTGCCTTTTCTTTTATTTTCTTACCTCACACTTTGAATTTTGGTTGCTTACCGCCTTTTTATTTCATATTTGCACTTTGCATATTGTTGTTTACTCTAAAAACAAACAGTATGCTGGATATGTTCCTTTTTTATTTTATTTTTTTATTATTATTTTTTGGTATCCATAGCATTTTTCAAAATTGTATTTTTAGGTCTTGTTCCACATGAAAAAGCTGCTGACTTCTGCTTTAAAAATATACCTAAATATATAAAACCTAAACGCAAAAAAATACCTAAATATGTAAAATCTAAATGAAATATATGTGCACACTCATAAGAAATTATGAGGTTACATCTGTCTGCTGGAAAAAATTCAAATTTACCTTTGCATAATACCCTAAAAATCAAAAGAGCTGAGTGTTTTTCCATTTTTTTGTTACGTATTCTTTGAAAACAAAGGCAAAGGGATTGGTGTAACATTTTCCACCAGGACCGCTAGTTCCTATTTTTTTTAGCGTAATTACTATTCTGTTTCCAATTAAATTAACTGCAGTTTACTATTGATCTAATATAGTAAGGACTTTACAAATTAAATTTTAACAAGGTAGAATTTAGGCAATCAGGTCTAAGCTATACTCAGTGAAGGTGTCCAGGTGTTGCCATTCACTTTAATTCCATTAACTTAAAAAAATATTCACAGTCACACCCTATACAGTCTTCAGACCTGCTGACTTGTGTGCTTATATAAATGTTTTTCTGGAAGGAAATCAAAATCTATCTTGCTAAAACAGAACACAGGTGTGATTAAACAGTGCTAATTAAGATTTTTTTAACTTCCCCTTTGCAGGCAGTTATGTCATTTATATTTATAAAATAATAATCACTGTTAGGAGGTCAAGTTACTTTTTTCAGGAGAGGGACCAATAACTAGACACTCAAAACAGAAATCTATTAGTGCTTTAGATAGTAGTAGACTTTTTCTAGATAATTAGTAGGCTTTTTCACCATCTAAAGGTTTGGCAGTGAAACTTAAATCTCAGCAAGCTTGCAACTTCCTTCCATATCAATTCCTAGAATAACAGAATTGGAAGGGACCTTGGAGTCCAATTCCTGCACAAACAGGACACTCTATACCCGTGATGGCGAACGTATGGCACGTGTGCCACAGGTAGGCACGCGAGCCCTCGCCCCAGCTGAGCTGTATATATATCCAACAGGAATAGGAAGTGCCTTACAGGAGCAGATAGAGGTAAATCCTAGAGAGGCAGGAAATGCATCACTGAACAATGGAGATGAATGCTAGAGAGGAATAACACTGCATACAAGGCAGACATAACACCTGTAACAGCGTAGGCGTAGTTGTAGGGAGCACCTACAACTGATGGTGAAGGGAGAACAGCTGACTCTAGCACTCTCTAGATGTGTGGACTTCAATTCCCAGAATTCTCAGCAATGGCCGTGCTGGCTGGCAAAATCTGGATCTTGTACTTAACTTATCTAGAGAGCATTACTCTGTTTGGGGAAAGCAGAGAATTGGGGGGGGGAGTGTTTCAGTCTCATCACCAGAATGAGTGATTGATACAGAATTGATAGCTGTAGCATTTCACTGAGTTATATTTTGAGCATTAACCCATTATTTTAAAATAATGAAATGCAAGTATCTGGCTGCTTGCTAAATTCTCTGCAAAACAGCAATACAAGTCTGAAAATAAATCAGTATTCTTAACTAGCAATTACCAGACAGGATGATCAGCTTTGGAAGCATGACACAGCTCCATTTACTCAAAGCAGAAAGCAGACAGGTATAAAACCAGTGGTGGGATTCAGCCAGTTTGCACCACTTCGGGAGAACCGGTTGTTAATTTTCTGAGCAATTTGGTGAACTGGTTGTTGGAAGAAATCATTAGGGCAGAGAACCGGTTGTTAAATTATTTGAATCCCACCACTGTATAAAACCTGTCATTTTGGGGAAAGATTTTGCACACTCCTAATATTTATCCTTTCTTATCTTACACAACATTAAAATGTACAGTCCTGTGATTTGCCTCATCAATTGGTCACAAAAGTTTGCAGATTTTCTCTCAAGTCCTATCATGGGTGAAATAATTAAACGATTTCTATTCAACTGCCGGAGGCAAAGATCACATGCAGACAACTTCATGGATTAATGAATAAATTATCATATTACAACATCAAAGATGCAGGATGTTCTTCTCCAATTTATTTAAAACTTCTGACCTGATTTTCTAAAATTAGAAAACTGCCCTATTTAAATGATCAAATTATGAACAGAAGACAGGTTGATCTATTATTCTGTATACCTGCTGGAAGGGCTTTGTGAAAAATTTAAGTTGCCATGTTTGGTTTCAGTAATCTGAGTAAAAAATAAAAGCTTACTCAAAATTTCAAATGGCCTCCACATAAGGTTGTGAACAGTGGAGTATCTAAACCAGCATTTATGTTCCTTTAATGATCAAACAGATGCTTTTGAGAAGATTAAATAAAGGCATAAAGAATATAATTGCTTTCTGCCACTTTCACTGTCATGCCTAGAATCTACTATCTACTATTCCGACCTATGCTTAGTTCATAAGATTATTTATCAAAACGTCCTACCTGTAAATGAGTACTTTAATTTCAACTGTAATAACACAAGGGCTATCAATAGATTCAAACTCAATGTAATTCACTCTAATCTTGATTGTAGGAAATATGACTTCTGCAATAGAGTAGTAAATGTCTGGAACACTCTACCTGATCCTGTTGTTAGTCTCTCTAATCCCCATACCTTTTATCTTAAACTGTCTACCGTGGACCTTTCATGTTTCTTAAGAGGTCCCTAAGGGGGCGTGCATAAGCGCACCAGCGTGCCTACCATCCCTGTCCTACTGTCCCCATTTATATGTAATCATTCTATGTCCGTGATGGCGAACCTATGGCACGCGTGCCACAGGTGGCACATGGAGCCATATTAGTGGGCACGCCAGCTCAGCTCTGGGGCGCATGCGCGCACCGGCCAGCTGATTTTCGGGCCTTCTGGGCCCACCAGAAGTAGGGAAACAGGCTGTTTCCTGCCTCTGGAGGGCCTGGGGGGGTGGGGAAGGCCCGTTTTTCTTTCTTACCTGGCTCCAGATCCTCTCTATGTATCTGGTAACGGCGAAAACACCCTTTTCCCACTCCCTTGGAGGCCCTATGGAGGCTCAAAGGGCCCATTTCCCCACTCCTGGTGGGACAGGAAATGATGTTTTTTCCTGTCCCCAGCCTCCAGAGACTCCTAGAGAGGCTCCTAGAGACTTCTAGAGAGGTTCTGGAGGCTGGGGACAGCAAAAAATGTCACTTCCTGTCCCACCGGGAGTTGGGAAATGGGCCTTTTCAGCCTCCGTAGGGCCTCCAAGGGAGTGGGAAAGGCTGTTTTCACCGTTCCCAGATACACAGAGAGGATCTGGAACCAGGTAAGAAAGAAAAACGGGCCTACCAGGCCATCATGTGCCAGGAGCTGGGGGGGGAGGGGGGGGGGGTTGCCCCCCAAGGGGCCGCGCACGGGGCCCCCGTGCCCCCCCCCGCCCCCCCCCTCCTGGCACGCAATGGCAAAAAGGTTAGCCATCACTGTTCTATGTGTTTATGGCTATGTTTTGCCTATTTATATCCTTTTATTTGTGCCAATTTTATTTCGTGTGTCCATGTCTATGTCTATGTTCCTTGTACTTGTTGACAAATCAATAATTTTTAATAATAATAACAACAACAACAACAACAACAACAACAACAACGTGTTTTGGAAGTAGATGACCATTTATTTATTTGTATCCTGCCTTTATTATTTTTACAAGTAACTCAAGGAAGTGAACATACTCAACACACCTTCCTCTTCCAACTTCCCCATAACAACAAACCTGCAAGGTGGTATGAGCTAACAGTCTATGACTGGCTAGGTGAAAGTTACCTAGCTGACTTTCACATGTGAGGTGGGACCAGAACTCATGGTCTCCTGTCTATGGAGATTCTCAGTCATCCAGGTCATGCTTGTCCCAAATGTGCTTTTTCAAGAGGCAACTAACTGGTCTTTGTGCTCTGAGCTGAAGAAACATCTTGATGAGAAGTGAAATGTCTTCAGAGAAAAACCAGAAAGTCCAGTTGATTCTTGAAAAATCATGGTCTCCTGCTTTCTAGCCTGGTACCTTAACTACTAGACCAAACTGCCTCTATGATGATGATTATAAGCTATAATTAACGGTTGCCTTCTCCAATTTATAAATTCCTCCAAGTAAACTTCTGAATACTCACAGTGACCACTCTCAACAGTAATCCCTTCCAAAATTTCTTCAATGAGAGATCAGAAAGGGGGGAGCTGTAATTTGAGAATTATAGGAAGTTCTATCAGATACCTAGATCTAATTATATGATTCCTGGAAGCTCCTTACGGTATTCCAGTGGCTCTTTGCTTCACAGTAAATTGCAAAAGGTACTGATTCCCCAAAAGCCATTATAGCAGTATTTATAAATATATTAACACAAAAATACAATGAGCACAACTTAAGGGAAATTAAGTCTTAATTAAATCTGGCAAATTTATGACCTAATTAAAAGAGAATTCCAAACAATGCAGATGACTTACCAACTAAATTAACTCTGCAGTTGTCGAGTCTTCCCAAACATTCTTTGTGGACTCCAGCCCCACACTTCGAACATAAGTAGCCTTGATAAAATGTTCCCCTGAAATATAAAACGGTATGGAAATCAGAAGACAATTGGTATAATGTAACAAACATTAAAATATGAAGCAGTTTAATATGTGTGGCAAGAATGCACCCATATATACTTCCAGATGCTTATATAGTAATAAATCCCTGAATACCAATAACCAGCAATGCTTTTTTGTTTGTTTGTTTTTGCAAATCTAATGGACATTGATTACTTAAGCACATACATTTTTGGAAGGTCAACAATCCACAATAGTGTGATCATTCCAAAACTTTTTTTCTGCTCAGTATATCTGATTTTAGTGTTGATCAAATCCTGGACTTGGTATTGAGACAAAGCTCTGGGATGTTAGGAGTGGCAACCTCAGACTCTTGATGATATCTGTTACTTTTAATGGCGAGAGAGAGAGAGAGAGAGAGATGTGTAATCACAATAAATGTGATGACTATGCAGAGGCTGCTCATATGACACATCGCTCAGTGAAATTTATTGCTGCTATATATTCAGAGCTCATGACTATTGCACATTATCTTCACACATTATGACATAACACAACTGTATAATATGTATGTTTATAATATTATATGTTGCTTCATGTTTAAAAACGGTGGGGTCATATGCACACTTTACTGTCGATATTGCTTTTGCAGGACTTTATATTTTACAGGATATATTTTGTAGGAAAATATAGGATACTTTTCAAGTAATCTAATCATAATAGACACGGATGTACTATTTTTCTTTCAGTCAAATGAAATCATGCTTAATTGCATCCACTTACTATTTTAATATTTTGTTTAGCCTGCTTTCTTATAGTATAGCTACCCTGCAATCCCAGATTTGTAAAGGCATATTTCTCTCAAGGGGGAATACAATGCTAAGTATTCTTTTTAATCAGTACTGTATTTTTAATGCACAATATTCAACTATTGGAATCTTTCTGGACTCAAAGAATGTAGTATATGACATGTCATGTAGCATTTGTATTTTTTTTAAAAAAAAAACCCATTTTCTTCTTAGCTTTCAATGGCCTTAGTGGAAAATAATTCTTTGTTTAAGGTCAATTTGAAAAGCAGCGTTTATGAGTTTAAAAGCAATGAACTTAGAAAGCAATATAACAGCTACTAGTAGAAATTACACTTTACAAAACAAAATAATACATCACTGATTTTGCACAGAATTATCACTCAAAAAGAGGGAAATGTTTACTATTTGAACATAGATTCATGCTAATGCTGAATTACACAGCTATTTGTAGAATTTAAGTCTTGCTAGCTTTAAAAGAAAGGTAGAATCCACCCGATAATTTGATGAGTCTATTGAATCCCATTGTTTTTCCCAAGTGTAATATAATTTTTAGGCTTCAGCTGTTTTGACACTTACCTCAAAAGCATCTGACAGACTTTGCAGGATGTTACACGAGTGAAGGTATACATTTTAAAGTCATGTGTACTTGTTTCTGCAAACTGGGGCCTTATGTTTGACCTAGAATGTAAAATAGATTCTTTAATATTCATAAATATTAATAGAGAAATAATTCCATTTTCAAACCTAGAAAAAACTGCAGATGTTTAAATATGCATTTTAATAAGTTGTTGGGTATATTTGGTTGAAGACTCTGGGGTCTGTCTTCTCTCCTGCAGAAGGAGAGCCTTCTGTGCTTTATTCCACTGATATATTATATTATGTAATTTAGCTAAGCCAAAACCACTCTTGGTCCTTGTTTGCCTGTCAGGATCCATTTCGTTTTGTCGTCAAAATAATTGTAGAAATGACAAATGGCACAGTGGAACAGCCTGAAATTTGCTTCTTGTATCTTTTCTTGCTATCTGAACATTCTTTACCAGTCTTGGCATTTCTTATCAAAACTAAGGGGGAAAGAAGCCACTTCTGTACTGTGACTGTGAGGCAGGATTTATCCTAATCCTGATTTATCTTAGAAAGTTATGAACCCAATTATTATCTCACATCTCTGATTTCTATCCCAGGGCCAGCCTTGTATGACAGTGTAAAGTTCTCAATTCACCAAAAAAACCCAATTAGGGCATTTGGGAAATGCAAAGATACTATCTAAGCAAAATATAATTTGATTGTAGTTTAATGCTAGAGTTTTTAATCTGACTCTCTCTCATATCTGAGCCAGAGCATATTTAGAGAGCATTTGAGTCATAAATAAAATCTGGATCAGAACTGCCCATAGCACTGAATTTAAATCTTAGTGCATCAGAGTAATTCCCCAAAACAGCCTTTCAGATGTTTTGGATTTTATTTCCAATCAAGAGTCATGGCCAATGAGAAGTAAATTAAGAACTGCAGCCCGAAGTATCCATGACCTATCTTCACTAGAAGTTTCCTGATCCTTCACCTACTGTTTTCTCAGATTCCTGAGCCTGAGTACACTGGTTATTTCAACCATATCTTCATTAAGATCTTCCATATCTCCTTGAAGTTCATAGGTTTGGACTACTTTTGTTTTCTAGGGTTAAATGTGAGTTTTAATCCAAGTGAAAGCAATGCTACTGGAGCTCAGGGAAGTTTCTTTTATATCAATATTAATAACAAACTATATATACCATCAAACCTCCACCGTATCTAAATGTCTAGAGATGTAAAAAATGTCATGACTTCAATAGTCTTCTTCATATTGTTTACCGTCATGTGACGTCCATAATACACCTAAATGGTTTTGCTGTTTATATATTTCTCTAAAACATCCCACATTATCCATGAGACATACCTGATTTGTGCCTATTTTTAATGCTACTTGTTCTCTTTAACTGCAGAAATCCAAGATTGCATTTCAAATATTTATTGGTTAACAAGGGGGACAGTAATACAGAATAGAATTCTATCAGTTGTATCATTTGCTGCTGTATAGATTTTCCAGCAAAAGCTATATTTGCTCATATTGTCATCCACCAACAGACCTGTCTAAATAAGCAATTTAAAATGAACACATTGGTTGCTAATGGAACACATTATCCTTACGTGTGTGGCCTCCATGCACAATTTTTTTTATAATGCCAACATTGATTTCTGGTCACAGTAAAATGTAGGTTATATTACAATGTGGAACATTTATAGTTTTCTATTTTGCCTTTTCACATTAATAAGTGAGCAGAAATATTAAGAAAGTGCAAAGCTGCTGAGTAGTAGGCAGTGAATTATTTTTATCTCAAGCTCTTACACATAGGTTCTGCATTTTATGATAATTAGAAAGGCAAGAAGAGATTCTATTATGTTTATTATTTTTACCTACTCTTTTGACCACATTTGAAAAGCATCAGATTTGAGAAGCTGAGAAGATTTGTTACTGTTGTCTGATTTTGCCTATTTTTTGGTTTTGTTTTGTCAGTTAACTTGTTTTAAGTCTGCTGTCTTTAAAAAAAAAAAAAAGCTACATTTTTGCTAACTGAACTAAGAAGTATGTCTGTTCGCCCTGATCAGCATCAAGAGACTGATTGGACTGGGCTGGGTGCATCCTAAACTGGGTGCATCCTAAATCACAGTAATTTTCCAGCAAGTTTATCCTCTGTAAAGGCATGTTAAGTTATTTCACTTTTTGCTTTTTAATATCACCCACCAGTCAAACTCTATGCCAGTGTTTCTCAACCTCCGCAACTTTAAACTAGGTGAACTTCAACTCCCAAAATTCTCCAGCCATCTTAAAGTGGTCAAGGTTGAGAAACATTGCTCTAGGCACAGTCCTTGCTTAATAATAAGATTTCGTACGAGGCAGATCTTCATTGCAAATGCTTCCACTTCCATTCATATGTAGCTGAAAAAATCTCAATTTGAGAAAATGACAATGCTTACAAATTCATCCAATTAAATCAACATCCTTCCACTGATCTCTATCCCAAATAACTTCTAGCTTAGGGCCCTTAGAAATATTCCGTAATCAACACAGGTCTATTCCCTAGATCAATATTTAATTTTCTATTCCTGTCTTCTCCTTTTTGCGTTCAATTAAAATTGGTCAACGGCAGGTTGAAGAGTAGTGCCATAATAATGGCAAAGCAGAAATAAGAGCAGCCTCTTAGTTTCAGAGTCCATCTCCAGACATTCCCTACCTGGCTTCCCAAGCTAAGCATTTGTGTGGGAAATGCCATGAATATCTTCAGCCAAACTGCAGTTACCTTAGATGGATGGCAGCTTCCTCACATGCAAGCATGACAAACACACACTTTCTCAAGGTATACTTTTTCTTGTCCTCACAACCATCCTGCAAGTTAGCATAGATTGGGAGAGAGTGACTGTCAAAGCTTTTGCTTAAGTTTATTATTATATTTCCCCTCTCTTCAAATGGTGTGTGTGTGAGAGAGAGAGAGAGAGGGAGAGGGAGAGGGAGAGGGAGAGGGAGAGAGAGAGAGAGAGAATCTTACTTTTGGGTTAATATGAAATGTTAGCCTGATCACACAGTCTAATAATCTATTGTTCACAAAAGTAATCCTTGTTAGCGAAGCTGGCTGAGGAGCCCTACAAGTCCCCCAAGACCCTCTCACAGGGTCAAAATCAAAATGGACAGATATTAAAGACATTTGCAAAAAATGTTTTAAAATGTAATTCTTGTCATTAAAAATACAGGGTTTTTCATGAGAAATATTTGTGTTAATCTCTACTATCTAATGTGATATTGCTGTTTTGATATGATTCAATAAATATTCTACAAATGTAAAGAGATAAAGGTTTCCCCTCTCCAGTCGTGTCAAACTCTAGGGGGCAGTGCTCATCTCCGTTTCTTAGCCAAGGGAGTCAGCGTTGTCCAATGAGAATTCCATGATCATGTGGCCAGCATGACTGTACACCAAGGCCCACTGATCACTGTCATCTTCCCACCCAAGTGGTACCTATTTATCTACTCACATTTGCATGCTTTCAAAGTACTAGGTAGGCAGAAGCTAGGGCAAGTAGCAGGAACTCACCCATCGCACTGCACTTGGATCCTGAACCCAGGCTTTCAGCTTTCCAGCTGACAAGCTGTGTCTTTAACTATCGTATCCCACCTTTACAGATGTATAAATTTTAATTTTTAATACAGTATATGTTGGTAAATATAAACAATACAAATAAAAGTTACTTGGGGTTCCATACTTTTTAAAAGTGGAAATGGGTGAGCAAAATGTTTAAGAAACATTCCTCTAGAACTCTCCTATTATTCAATATTTTTTCAGGAATCTTCTGCAGTAAGTACTGATATTGTTACATTTTATATTGCTATCCTATGAGCACCAGAAATGGACTCTAAATATGTCAAAAGAAAAAGCAGTAATGCTAAGTAGATAACAAAATGTGCCAGTCCTGTTTTGCTATAAAGGAAAGGTGAATTCTCATATGACAATATAATGTGGCATAAACCATGGCTTTAAAAACTCTTTTCCTCATTTCAATACTTGACCAGACATTATGCACTGTGTCACAGGGGTTTATACAGTAAAATTATATGTCACTTCTTATAAGACTGAAATAATATGATATGAAACACAAGAGCAGGATGTGGCAAATCATAAATATATTCACATATTTCCTACGGAGAAGGAAATGCATTATTTCAATGGTTCCTTTTTCATAAACAATTAAAATGATAACATTATGTTTATAGTAAGTCAACTTATATGTACGTCAACACTTTTAATAGTCAAGCAATTTTTTTCTTGGAATACAAATGAGTTTGTGTGTGATGTGTGATGTTTACTTGGTGTAGTAGTTCAGGCACCAGGCTGGAGACTGGGAGACCTTGAGTTCTAGTTCCACCCTGGCTATGAAAGCATCTGGCTCACTCTTTCTCAGCTCTAGGAGGGAGATTCCAAAATCTTGCCAAGAAGACTGCAGTTGAGTCTTCTTGGCTGCAGTTGGAATGCAATGAGTTTGCATTCCAAGAAGGAATTAGAAAATAAAAGAACTGATAAGAGCCTATTAGAAATATATATTTATCACTCGGTAATTTAGGATTGCACATATATACTGTTCAGTATTTTCTGTCACTGATATCCTATCATTTTACATGGGATGAAATGCGATAGATAAATTAGATCAGATTGACAACAATCTCTTCTGTAATATTTAATTAAACGTGTCTTTATCGAAAACAACTATGCGACACCAAAGTTGTCCATGAAAACATAGCATGCCAGAATGAAAGCCCCATGACATGTTATTCTTCATATCATGAAATCATACAGGTAAATATTGTTGTTCCTGAAAATGACACTCTGCTTTTTACCACCTTGCACATGAGGTGGTTTGTACTTTAGGACTAAATATTAAGAAATACCAAGTCAAGTAAATTAGTTGATAGATTAAAGAAAAAGAAACAATATATCTTAATTATGTTAATTTTCAGTTCCATACTCCTTGTTGCATCGTACAATCAATAATGACATTTGCTGAAAATCATTCCAGTTCTCAGCCAGAAACACATCATCATCTTCAAACAAAAGTACGTGTGCATTCAAATCCCCAATTTTGATACCTTTAGCAGAATG